TTAGATAATTATAGTGGGATAAGAAGCATAATATTAATGTATTATATAATTTGTAATTCATGGATTAAAAGATGCAGTCATTTGTAATAAAAAGAATATGTAGTTTAAGTTATTAAGAATTAAAACTTGTGGTGTTTCAAAGTAAATACCCTGTAATTAACATTTTTTTTAATATTTTGTATTTTTTAAAAATTGTTTCTACATATTCACTAATTGTGAATGATATTGAAAAATAAAGATCATAACTTATACAGGATTATTATTCTGGTTACTAATGAATGAGTCTTTTTGGTAGGAAATTTTTACATTAAAAAATAAATAAATAATATAGAGTTAATTTAATATATACTATATGCCACACTCTTCTTGTTAATGAGAAAATATTTTATGAATTAAATATACTGTACATTTTTGTCATGTTATTGTAATTGAGTATATTTCTCAAAGTGATGATTTTTACTATTTTTAAATTTATTAATTTTTTATTAGAAAGTTCTACTTTTCCTATTTTTTAAACCTTGAAACACAGTAGAAACATCAATATATATAAATAGAATAAAAATGCATAATTTTCATGCAATGTGAAGGAATGCTGAGAAGTTTGTGACTGTCAGGATACAAAAGAGCAAAAGCCCTACTATGAAAATAGAAGTCATTGTTAAAGCACATGTACTATACCTTAAGAGTCTGTTATGACTATTAGTTTGCTTACTTCAGTAATTTGAATTCATGATGGCTGCACTAAGACCAAAATTCAGCAACATTGATAAGCCCTATGATCATGAATTTCTTGTTCTTTCAGGGGAAAGGAATGCAGGAGATTCACTCTAAAATGCTGTCCTAGAATAAGACAGGACTATTCTTTCCTCACAATGATGATGAAATGGGTGACACATTTTCAAAGTGACCATTTTGAGGTAAAGATGAGCTATGTTCTGGACAACTATGACAATCAGCCATGACAGTCTTCAAGGATTTCATCCTTGAAGACTGTCATGGCTGACAGACATGTTATGCACCCTCTATGATCCTTGAAAACTTTCACCTTTCAGTCAAGATGATTGCTGAAATTAGTGGCATATTCAGAATTTAATCTTGCGGAGCTGAGTTGAATAGATAAAATTTTTTAATGCCAATTCAAAAAAAATTCCCACCTTATGTGACTGCTAATTCGTAAATAGTATAGAAATAGAAGACACGACAGAATATAAGTAAAAAAATGAATTTTAATTAGAAAAATATTTTTGGAAAATTTCTAGTGTTTTTTCCTTTTTCTTTGGAGGGTGCCTGGGCTCCTTGGCCTTCCTCTGGGTGTGCCACTGGTTGAAATATTGAAGATTTCCTATGCAGGAACAGATCCAGGAATTTCATTTAGGGGATGCACTTCATGTCAATATTGATATTCTTTGTACTGTAGTTCTACTATGGAAAACTCTTTTCTACTTCAAATTTTATGATTTTAGGGAGTGCTTATGCACCCTCTACTTTCCATGGATCTGCCCCTGCCATGACATTCTCAATACAGGGAAGTTCTCTGCAAAATGAATTCCAACCCTTCTCATTGCACATCAGAAGTGAATCACATGATTGCCTCCAAAGCCATTTTGGCACATTCTACACTAGTGTTGTGGATTTTGTGGCCTGATTAGTGACTATGGATGAAACATGGTTTCAATGCTATGATCTCGTAACAAAGGACAATCAAAAAATGGCATCTAGAGAGTCTAACTGACCAAATACGTTCTATGTCCAGAAATATAGAAAAATCCTGGCTTCCATGTTGTAAGATAAGGAAAGCCTCATCTTAGTAAATTACCTACCAAAAGGTTAGGGAATCAATGCCCCTTATATGTCTCTATTGGATGCATTGTGGAAGGCTTTGAAGGAAAAGTGGCAGGGAAGTTGAGTCAAGGTATTGCTCTTTCTGCAAGAACATGTTCTTGTCCACTCAGCCTTCCAAACCATTCAAAAAATTGAGGATTTTGGGTTTGAATTGTTGCCCATCCATCTGTTTACTAGATCTTGTATCTTCAGATTATCATCTCTTTCCATCTTTAAATGCTGAAAGAGATGAGTTTTGCTTCCAATTAGCAATCATTGGAACTGAAAAGGGATGGTTTGTGGACGAACTTAAGGGTTCTTTTTGCATGAGTTAAAAAAATAAATTGAAGAAACATTGTAATAAGTGTATAGAATTGAGGGATGATTATGTTGAATAAAATATATTCAGTTTATCAAATTTCTCTTTTCTTCTAGGAAAAGTTATGAACTTTTCAGCACTCCCATACATATTTCAAAAATAACTGGTAAATGACTAGAAATGAATAAAAATAAGTTAATTATTTTAATAATTAATAATGTAATTAAGTTAGCAGAAATTTAAAATATTTTGAAACAAAATGTATGTACTGTATTTCCATGCAAATAAATGTGTTCTCTTGTACTTGAAAATCACGTATTTGTGTCTTTTTGAAACATATCTTTTGCTTCATTTATAAGGAGCAAAAGATGTGTTCCAGCTTGTTTCACTTATGAAAGAGCACTGCACTGCTGTGTCAATGATCATGTCATATGATTTTTTTTTTCATTTATAGTAAGGGGAATTACCTCGTTTTTATCTATATAGTAGCAGTATGGTTGCTAATTTAGGAATATTATCTTAAATTTAGGATGTTTTTACCACTGAGTCAGACATTTTTTTGTGTTATAGTCATTTTAATTTTCCTGCAATTAATAGTATAATCTAGAAGAATGTAGTAAATGTGAAACAATCTAAAAAAGATACTGTACCTTAAATTGAAAAGTAAATTTTGTTGTAGAGCAAAAAAGTTATCTAAATGCAATTGAAATAGTTAATTTTTACTAGAAACATTTAGTGTTGAAACCTAATGTTTGGCAACATTTTAAGCGACAAAACCCTTTCATATACTCTACTTAGTCTGTAGAATAAGATATACTAAAAACTAAAAATTGATTTTCTAACTTCAGGTAGCTTTTTATAGTTTACAAATGCTGCTATATATGTACTACATACAAATTTAATTTTTATACAATATTTTGTATCTCTAGAGCAGTGGTCGCCAAAGTGGTCGATATGGACCCCCCAGGGGTCGATGCAACATCAGTGGGGGGGTCGATGCAGCTAAGAGGTCACAACCTTTTTTTTTGCTTAGACAGAGACCACAACCCACAACTTTTTTTTTTTCGCTCATACATATACACTTGTAATAAAACTTTACGGTGGGGGTCAATGTGAGGCTTTGGAAAGTGATTGGGGGTCAACGGTTAAAAAAGTTTGGCGACCCCTGCTCTAGAGTATTGCTTGGGAAATACTGTATTTTGTTTCTTTGCTTTTAAAATTGATCTTGTATGTAAATTTTTTATTTTGGCTAAATTGACCTTATAAAATCTTACCAAGCAGTGGCGTAGTGTAGTGGGGGCGGCAGGAGTGGCTCACCCCGGGTGGCATTTTTTAGGGGGTGGCAAAATTTCACAATAAATAATAATAATATGTTGTAAAAATTTGAACCATTCTATCCTATATTTGCGTTGCACCTACGATAATGCTATCATCCGGACAGTCCGGGAATGATCTCACTGTCTGGGTGAACTAGTAATTTCATCTGGGGATATCCTGCGAGACATTTTGACCGTTGACCTTGTTTTTTTGCTTGTACGATTCATTCGTACTCATATACATCTCCAATATCCAATAGAGCTATTTTGAATAGGTCACTGCACTAGCACAGAATTTTTATTGCTTATTCTGTGACAAAACTGAATTTTAGTCTTTTAAATTGAGATACCTAAATAAGTGGGGGACAAAATTTTCCTCTGCCCCAGGCGGCTGACACCCATGCTACGCCACTGTTACCAAGGTTAGTATAAAATCATTTTTACTACTAAAGTGGAAATCACTGAAATAAAATTATGTAAAAACATTAATAAAAAATAAGCATTTTTGATTCAGATTATTATTGTGTGTGTGTGTGTGAAAAATAGTTAAACTAATCATTCTTATTTATTAATTTTATTGAATGTGTATAGAGTACATATATATGAAAATAATGAGAATTGAACAACATTAAGGGTTATTAAGTAAATGAATAAATAGCGGTATTGGTAGAGTATAGATATGCTAGAAGTATGGCTGCTGGGGAGAGAAAAAAAGGTTATAGGTCATCAAATTGGTTTTGGGTTCACTGATGATCCCCTAATGACACATTAATTGTTGTGATTTTCCATCAACTAAATAAAAAGGTTCCTACTACAATACTGGTATAAAGTAGCAGTAATTATACCCAGATACCAAAAAAACCAGCAATATATATATACAGTCGATCCCCCTATAAGATCATTGATTTTTCCGTTTTATCTGAATTACATGTTGTACGAGTCACTTAGATTTTACAAATACGTGTGCCGGGCTGTGAACGGCTCACATATTTGTAAAATCTAAGTGACTCGTACAACATGTAATTCAGATAAAACGGAAAAATCAATGATCTTATAGGGGGATCGACCTGTATATTTTAAATTTATACTAGTGTTCTATTTTTAGAATAAACACTAGATTCTTTTTCATTTCTTCTAACCTGAGAATGACCATTTAAATAAAAAGTGCTCTTTTAATGTATATTACAATTTTGTTTCATTTTTACAGTTCCATATGTCACCCACTGGTTGACAAACACTGGTTTAGGGTAATTCTTAGCCTTAGAGTCATTCTGAAGAACTTTTCTGGCAAAAGTTGGTAACAGTCTTATTGGACAATTTTCTATTTTGATAGCAGATGGCTGAAGCAGTTTAGAATGTCAGCCTACTGATATTAAAAGTTATTTAAATATAAGCAAGTGTTTTTAAGTACTTTGAAGAACATACTGCTGTTATCGCCCTATATATAAGAGCATGTTCTCATATGTATGGAAATACAGTACATTGTTATTTTAAATAGCTTAATTTTTAATAAAATCTTTTTTCATAAATTTTTTATTCTGCAGGAGATTTTTCACCATTTAAACAAACTGAAATTCTGAATGTGAATGGTGCATATAACATCCAATACCAATTACAAAATGACAGCATGGATGCAAGTTCCATCGAACATAGTGAACTTTCAAAATTCCCTTCTAGTGATGAGGAGTATTCAAATGAAATTGATGAATATGACCTCCAACAAGCAAAAATTAATTTACAAGAAGGCATGCAAGACACTACATGTCTTTTCATGTGTGAAGTTTGTTATCAAACTTATCCAGATAGTAATAGTCTAGAAAAACATCATGATCTACACACTGTGGATGGTATATCTGATCATGAAGGTTCTGGAGAGAATAGTACCAAGAGGGAGTCAATTCTTTCAGATTTACAAGATTTCATCTGCAAGTTTTGTAACCGCAAATTTAACAATGATGTTTCCCTCAGTAATCATTTGAAAATTCATAACAGAAAAACAAGTTTAGCCTGTGATAGTTGTGGAAAACAGTTTAAAACAACAGCTGGTTTAAATAAACATAAAAAAACTCATTCCTTGGAAAAGCCCCATATGTGCACTATGTGTACCATGAGATTCAAAAGAATGTATCACTTGAAGCGGCATTTAAAAACTCATTATAAAAACAAAGCATGTGACAAATGTACTTTAAAATTCAAAACAGAACGTGATTTGAAGATGCATAAGAAGAAACACAATGGTGTTGTTAACTCAGCTGCTAATAATGCTGCAGTAACAACCACACATGCATGTATAATTCGTTTAAAAAAAGATCAAAAGTGAAATAATATAGAATATAATAGATAATATAACCTCAGTTTCATGCATTTAAAAAGAACTTGTTTAAATTGCATGGTTACTATTAAAGTTGGATTATGTCAAAGATATGTATTATTTTACTTTAAAAAGTAGATGTATCATGACATAGTATATTATTATTAATGAAAATTCATCAAGAATTCATTTAACTTTCCTCAGATTTTACATAAATGAAGACTTAAGAATAAATTCATCAAAATGATTTTTAAGTGTACAAAATGTTGATATTTTCTATTATTATAAACTATAATTCATCTAAAAGTGATGTTCTATAGTATTAAAATTAAAGGAACATTTAATGAATGACAATGAAGGACAAAGAAATTAATGTACATTATTTTCTGCAAATATGGGATGTATTTTTTCTGAGGAAAAGTTAAAGGATTGTATCAACGTATAATAACTTTGCATTTTTTGAAAATTTAGTAGAAATGTCTAGATTTTTATCTGTTTTCCAGATATAGAAGGACTAAAAAATTTCTATTTTCAATATAAATAAAATGGTTGAAGGGATTTAGAGTAAAACATATCAGGAGTTGGAAATGTTAGAAGTTAATACAAAAGGCTATTCGTACATTATTATTGATCTTTTGTACTTTCAAGTGCAATTTAAATTGCTACTTTACTGCACAATTGAACAACTTTATAAACTGTATTTCTTTTACATTGCTGTGGATGTTAATTAATTATGTACATCTTTTAAATAGGATATATTTTTATTTGCTGTTGAACATAACATAATATCATGCATAATTCGTGGGTACAAAGAAAAGTTATTTTGTGTTCCACAGTAATAACTTGTGTACAACTTTACTAGGCCAGTTAGCAACTTATATTTGAACAAGTACAATTTTTAGACATTGGGACTCGCATAGAATATCACTTTGTAAATCACTCGTAAGTATATTAATCATGTTATGTCAATCACCACTGCATAAGGTTCCAAGTTCCTTTAATATAATAATCCGTGCACGTGTATGAATGTTTCATCTTTGATGAAAGTGATAACATTTTTAAAAACATTTTTTTCATGCATTTTAAATATTATTGACGTGATATTTCATTAATTTGACGTATTTTTATAAGAATTATTAGTCTTTGTAGATGATTTATGTGAAAAGAATGATTCTTGCTTTTGTATAAACAATTATTTTATTTTTAAATCTCAAAGTAAAACTTTGCTCAGTTTGTAATTATTTTGTTATAAAAATTAGTTAAATTTTTTTTTTAATTTTTAGCAAAGAGAAGTTTATGAAATGTGGAATCATTAATAAATAAAGATATTGTTAAATTTATTAGCATTTGTTTAAGTAATTTGAAATTTTATTAATATATCTTAACGTAAAATAAAATATAATAAGTTATATATCAACATCTCAATAACCCAATGTATTATCATGTAATTTCTAATTATTATTTGTAGTGTAATATTGCCCGATTAATTTGGAGGATGGTTGGATGTGTAATAGGTTAATTATTAGGAAACGGAGCCTTGTTACTGTTAAATAATAAAAAATAAATAGAATTACATATTTTATCATATCACTTTATAACTACTGAGTGGGCTTATTTTAATGCCCATTTACAGATTAATCAGGCCCTTAATGAAACAGCTAAAGTGCTTCAGAAGCAGGAACCAACATATCAAAGTCAAATCATCCTGAAAATTTATAATAATCTAATTTGAACTCAAATCACTCTCTCAGTGGCAGGCTGATTTTTTTTGGTCATTTGGCTATCAAACAGAACCAGCTCCAATTCATATCACTTCCATCTTTTTAAGTATAAATTATATAGCTTTAAAGTGCTACATGCATAATAAGAAAAAGCTATAGCATTAAATATTTCTTCATGAAATAGCGAGGTTGAGGCCGAAGTTTTGAATGCGAAAACGTGTACGTCGGACATTCAGCGCTGCTTTCCTGTAAGCCCGGAAGTTTGACAATGGTGTTTGCAATGTCGAGCATGATTCCACTGACTATCCAAACACCATTGTCAAAATTCTAGGCTTACAGGAAAGCGGCGCTGAACGTCCGACGTACTGTACACGTTTTCGTGTTTAAAACTTCGGCCTCAACCTATCTATTAATTAAAGTACAGGGTGATTGAAAAGTCACAGAAATTTAAAAAAAATTAATAACTCTCAAACTATTTACAGTAAGATGATGCAGTTTTCACAGAAATGCTTAGAAAAAAAGCAGCATTTTTTTTGTGTGTAATAAAAATTTAGTACCAAAATAGTTACATTTCTTGCCATAGATGGTGCTGTAAGAAACTGAAAGCATTTGTAACTTAAGATAAGAATTAAAAAAAATAATGTTTTTAGTGTAAACCAGAGGACCCCAAACTTTTTTGTCTCATAGACCACATTCCAATGTTTTCTGTTTTGGGTAGACCCACCCACATTTCTAATATCGAATTGTTACAAATTCATCAACTTCAAATGTGTTTTTGACAGCTGACACAGTGTTACTACTTTGATAGGTTTAATTGTAGAGTGAAAAAGTTAAAAAAACACACGTTAACTTTTATACATTTATTAATTAAAACGACACAAAATGAAAATCTACTAAAATTATAAAATAAAAGCATTTATTTTTTGTGTAGTTAATGGGAGGGATGAGCCTGATGCTTTAATAGTAAATTTTCAATATTTGGCTTCAATTTAGTGAGCTGTAACCTTAAATCATCTCGATCGGTGATTTCTAATCTGTTTCTTTTTTTTTGTAAGAAGATTGGTAAAGCGATAGGTCCATGGGGGCCCCAAAATCATAGGAAAAAAAGAACCAAAAAATTTTTCACAGCAATCAGAACAAAAGCAAAATTTGGCATTTGGCTGCTCGAGCTGATGGGGCCACTATTACACAGGAAAATATCAACTCAACTTTAATCTAGTTATACATTATATAAACTACTACACAAAATTATTTTAGTCTGTTTACAGGGGCCCACAAATCTGGTTCCGGCACCGGGCCCGAAGAACCCTAGCTACGCCACTGAGTCAAAATATCTTCAAACCTAGTTTCAAAGGGTATGTTCGTAAAGTCGAAAGAGTTAAACGAGAATTACGTCATCGTTATTCTTATTTCATTAGATTTTTTGACCGATTCATTTATAACTAAAGGCTTTTTCTAAAATATAAGATATGAATGTTGCTAGTGCAGCCTTATCCGAAATATTTTTCTTAGATTGCTTCGAGTGGACAGTTATTTCTATCATTTCATCTTATAATTCATGGTTTAAACACTCGAGAAGATTTAGAAACATCAATATCATCAGATGCCATTTTCTTAACGAAGTGAACTAACTCCTTCGTGAACTTTGTTAGAGTTTCGTTCAAAATGTCATTGCTGCAGAGCATGCGCACTGAGTGAGACTACTACTTTTTGAACGATTCGTTACTGATGCGTTTAACTTGTTCAACTTTACGAACGTACCCAAAGTCTGTGTGAAGCATATTTAAATGTTGAATGTAGGTTGAAACATCATCCTGGCAGTTTATCTGTGACAAATTGGGGAACTGGGAAAATTTGCGTCGTTCAATATTTTGCTTCATTAGTTTAATTCTGATAAGAAAAGCTGAAATGATGGATTTTGTTTTTATCAAATTTAGATTGTCGCTTTGTAACTGCAAGTTAATCTCATTAACTTGCAGTTACATTAGTGAACAAATCTGTTAAATAAGCAATGTCTGGTATCAACTTAAATTTTCTTTTAAAATTGGATCTTTATTATCCAAAAACTAAAACTGTCTCAAAAAGTGAAAAAAAAAAAAATCTTATCAAACATAAGCCTTTTGATAGCCAGCATACTTCAGTGAGAAGGAGCAATCGATGAAAGTTCTCGTCATTTTCTTCACACAGCTGCGCAAATAACCTAGTATTCAACACGTTACTTCAAACTTTGTTTACTACGTTAATGACAAATTGAAGAGATTGATTTTATCTACCACTCAGATTTTTACCAACTAAATGTTGTTGATGAATGACACAGTGTACTGTATTGTAAACACCCCAGATACATTTTGTTTTAAATGGCTTATAAATCCACAATAGCACCCAAATATGGCTGGTGCTCCATCTGCTGCTGCTGATATTTGATAAAGGAATCGCTTTTTCCATGAATAATCTCTCAAAACATTACATATTGATTCGCCTTTAGTGTCTGTTGTCAAAGTTCTCCCAAAAAGCAGTTCTTCATGGATTTCTTGGCCCATAACAAAACGAACATATGCCAATAATAATGCTTCATTACCAGGTAAAGTTGATTTGTCCAGTTGTACAGAGAAATGGATGTTTGCAGATAATTACACAAGAAGCTTTCAATATCATAACTCATTTCATCAATACATCGTTGTTTCTCAAAGGAATTTTTTTGATTATATCATATGCAGGTTTGTGTAGAACAGTTCTTAAAACCTCATCAATGTTTGGCAAAATTAATTGTTCCCCGATAGTATGTGGTTTTCCAGATTTTGCTATAAGTAGCGAGATATAAGACGCCCGCAAACCATCATCGTTTGTTGTGACTTTCACAAATTCTGGCGTGCAAAAAAAGAAGACAGTTGCTTAACTTTACTTGCATACTAGTTTTCTTTGAAAAAATACTTTTAGCGTTGTTTATATGCAAATACTTAAAAGCAAGTAACAGTGCAATAAAAATTTGCATAATGTAAATTCAGTTTAACTGCAGAAAGTTTACAGACAACTAAGAAAGGACAGAATTAGCCTATTGAAAATCTTTGTCCAATGACTTCATTTCTACAAAAATCTGCTAGAAGCTTGCATTCGGTTGGTTGGTGGATACCACTCAAGCTGTAAACTCAGGATTCTCGATAGTTTCTCACAAAAAATTCATGGTTAAATCCTGCTCAAAAATCAAATTGTATCTTTCTTCTCACCATCAAACCAATCTCCATTACAGCATATTGAAAGATGTTTTTAGAGCTCCCTGATAGGCTTATCAACTTTCAGCGTCATAAATTGCGAACGCACTGTGAAAAAACAAACTTGAGAAAAGCGATGAGCAAAAGAAAACCTAACCTAAACTTAGAGACATTTTATCTTTCCTTGATGATGATGATGATGATATACAGTCAAATGGCCGAGGCGGTTAAGGCGTCAACCTACTCAATACTTTTATTCAGTCTGTACGATGTACAGTACATTGAGTGTTATTTCACATTCATTGCAGATACTATTACCGCTCTCAAAAGTAGTGGGAAACCTATATATGAACAAATTGATCTCCTCAACAGAGCAAAGCAGAAACTTTACAATGCATCAGGCACTGCTGCAAAAAAAAGTGAAGAAAGAGTTGAAAGCAGTGCTTCAAAAGAGACTCGGATTAAAGTGTTTGTTTATTGTGGCTGATATTTTGGCAGGAAAGAAGAGCAAAACTGAAAGTGAATTCCCAGTTCTTCTTCCAAGGTTGAAATATTGCCTGTTATCTTCAGTAGATAACGGATTATATGTTCTTTCTCTGCATATACTGTAAATTAATTCTGTGACAAACGTTGCAACTTCTCTATTGAAAATTTGGAAAAAGTACTTGTAATATATTATGAAGCTAACTATGGGAAACAGCAAATAAAAAATGCAAAGATAATTGTTTGTCTACTTTTGTGTTTGCATCATTCTGAATACGTACATTTTTGTTTGGAACACGTATGTTAAATAAAATTCATCGTCCTGATAGGTACATTAATTGTTCATTGTGCGAATTTTGACCGCCTATTTTTTGTTTATAAAGCCTAAACGACGCAATTTAAGAGCTTATTTTAAGTGCCTAAAATGCCACTTTTAAGGGCCTATAGATCTGCTGTCTACTAATTACTTATGGATGATTCCAGTGCTAGAACCCAACTCATTAGGAAGACAAAAAAATTAGTCTTAAAGAAACAAGAAAATTTTATTCAAGTGAAATCATTACTAAGGTTTAACTAAAAATATATAATATACATAAGAAATAAACCATTTATAAATTTTTTTAAATCTTTATTTTCCAGAAAATTATATTTGTCTACAGAAACAATTCTGAATTGTACAGTGTGTTAAACACCAGAACTTTTGTATATACAATACATAGGGATATTTAATAACAATGAGCAAATTTGATTTTCATTAAAATCCCTATGCAGGCAACAAGCTCATAAAATGTAATTTCTTTTTTTATTTCCAATATTCAATTTTTTTTTTTTTTATGTAAATGTGAATTTCCAGTTCATTAACAAATGATATTTTACTCCAAGTGAAGTAACAAACTTATTTTTCCAATTGCAATACACTGCAGAATAAACTAGAGACTAGAGTTATTCTGATTTTATAATTGTTATAGTTTTGACTTATTTACAATAAATATGACTAGTTAAAACTACAGGATCCATGAGCAATGTTATTTTTAAATATATATATTTTTTAATAGCTGCCATTTTATTTAGGCTGGTCTGAAAGACTTTCATTGCCATAAAACAAAATATTAAGCAGTTAATTATTCATATTAATTATAAATAGTACTGGTAGCTTGTTTCATTTATTTTTAAATTAAAATCAAATACAAAATTTAACAATTTCTTTCAAATTCAAGATTTAAAGTTTATTTGTAATTGTATATCATTGCTACATAACTCACAGAACTTGGTGCTGAAAGTCCATTTTTTAAGCAAAGTCATTTTGTTACTTCAATTGAAAGAATGCCAATAAATGCTATACAAATGAAACAAGCCATTAACGATTGAATAATGAGACTGTTCACTGAATCATAAATTTATGTGATACCATTAAAAAATTAGGTTTTAAACACAGATTTTAACACTTTTTTTTACATACAACAATTAAGGTATGTAAGTTACACCTATAAATTGTGACCAGCTTAGTGGACCTGAGTAACATACTCTCTACACAATAACACAAAAAATAGGCATGAAAATTATGTTTAATAAATAAATATGAGACTGATGATAAAAAATTAATAAATAGAGCTGAAACAACTAAAAATACCAAATCAAAGCATTCCATATAATTAAATTACTTATAAAACAAATTTAAATATAATATAATTCACGATCAAGAATGAATCATTCTATACTAACTTCCACAATAAGATTATATCAATTAGAAAAAAATTGCACACAAAATAAGATTCTCTGAAAAATTTGCCAACAAAACTTACAAAAAATTAAATGTATAAAATAATTTCCGTCTTTTGATTTCATTCAGTTGTTATTCACTAATATCTAGAGGATCAATATGTCATCAACAAGATAAATTTGGAGGGACGCCTTTGTTTCAAATATAACATTAGTGTCTCCGAAACAGAGTGTGATGATATATAAGCTAACAATTAACTATCAATGTGATGTAATAATGATAGATGAAATATACTTTTCTCAAACAAACACGTTATTTTTATTGCAACAATCCCTCTAAAATGTTTCGTCAATACTTAATATTGTACTTTTAACTTAGCAAGTACTGCTAGTCTCAATACTTTGGACCAACCACCTAAACATTATGCTATAATACTGCTGATTGTCATACTATTGCATTTCTACTCAGAATGGTGAAGCAAACATTAAAAACTTGTTAAATAATTTAAACATCTGCAAATATAATCTTTATGTATCTGCATAAAAGTTAAAATATTTTTAACTTTCAACAATGTGATTTGCAAAATATCATTTTTTCACAGTATTTTCTAGTCATATTTAACATAAACTGTCCTGTCTATCAATTAAATTATTTATAAAATTGTTATAATTAGTTCATGTTAACAGATGTGATTTTGTATATTAAAAAGAATAATTTACATTTTACTATATTTACTCCAAATTACCAAATTTATGAATTTCTGATATAAAAATTGCTTAAAATCAATTTTGAAAATAATTTTAAGCAACTTTCTACTTTGAAAAGCATAAATTTCTATAAATTTTATTTATGTTACTATACATTAACTTATGAAAAAATTCTAAGCAATATAAAGACCAAAAATTAAAAAAGTATTTGAATTTTTAGTTCTACTATAGCAAAAATAATACCATTTACAAGGATATTATTCTTTGAAAAATTGACTGACAGGACATAAATCAGCAAGAATAGCTACACTTTGTTTTCATTCTTGCTTTAAGTTATGTACACATTGCATCACTGCTTCTCTACAATACTGTATAAACAAAAATAATTTTTCAATTAGAAAAATTTTTATAATATTAAATTTTAGATTGATTTTCAACTGTAATATTTTTCTTGTATACAAATGACAAGAATTGTTTAATGAGGTGTTTCTGAAATTATAATTTTAGAAATTTTGATATACAAAGGCCGAAATAAAATTTATTGCAGTCCGTGTTATTCAAAATCGTAATCAGTCCAATGGCAAATATTCAGCAAATGCTGTAGGACTGCTTACAAGAAATTTTTCTTGTCGTCAAACTCTCTTCCTATCGGTGAGGACTCTCATTATGCAGCCTACTCCTCCAATGGCAAAAACCTTAAAGTAAGTAAATAAAACATATTTACACTTAAATAATGTTTTATATAATAAAATTTCAATTTACATTTCATTGAAAAATAATTTTTTTGGCTGAATTTTTCTTGAGTTACTCTAACTCAACTTCAAAGCTAAAAATTATTATTTAAAAGAAATATTACAATAAAAGTTTGATATTATGGATCCTAATATAATAGACCTTGTGTTATTATAGACGACTGATGTAAGTCTGGTCAAAAGTATAGGAAAATTATAAGAAAACTCATTCACTGTAATGGACTAAAATTATAACAAACTATTTTTCAGGTCCTGTAGACCAGGGATGAGCAACACGCGGCCCGCGGGCCGCTTGCGGCACGTTAAACATGTTTATGCGGCCCGCCAAGCATTTTTAAAATTGAATTTATTTTATCGACTTTCTCCCATCAATATATTGTTATAAAATTAATTATAATAAAATGGTAGTACATACTAAACCGAAACAATTTTTTGTGACGAGTTACTCACTTGTCGGCGACTTGTTCAAACATGCAATACGAACGCGCCGCGTCTGTGCTTGTTTGTGTTTGCTTCTGTCACACAATCAGTCAGACTGGTAAGCTGTTAACTAGCAATTTTAGCAATTCTTGTGTTTCTTGAAAGGCGTGAGTGCAATATTATTGTCAAAAAGGTAATATTAGAGTTTTTTTTATTCAAAATTAAGTTTTCCTACAAATTTTTTTAACTTTCAAATTTTTAATCCATAATAGCATGTCGGAAAAGCAAACAAAAAAACGGAAGGTTGCGGATGAGCACAGGCATTTCCAAGAAAAGTGGAAATTTGATTATTTTTTCACTTTCGTCGAAGATAAAGCTGTATGCTTAATATGCTCAGAGACTGTGTCGACATTAAAAGAATATAACATAAAAAGGCATTACGATACAAAACATGAACAACAATATAAAAACTTAACAGGACAACTCCGGATAGATAAGTTTAATCAAATGGAGAAAAACTTGGGAAAACAACAGGCTATTTTTAAAAATCAAGCTATTTTATCAAATACGGCAGTAAAGGCTAGTTTTGTTGTCAGTCAAATACTGGCAAAAAAAATGAAACCCTTTGCGGATGGAGAGATGATAAAAGAATGTCTGACTGCTGTTGCAGAAATAGCATTTCCTGATAAAATAAATATTATTTCAAACATTAGTTTATCAAGATTCACCATTGCAAGGAGAATTGAAGACTTGTCCGAGAACATAGCAACAACGCTTCGTGAACGCATTGCAAAATTCGAATACTGTTCTTTGGCACTTGATGAGAGTTGCGATATTAGCGATACAGCACAACTGGCTATATTTTTACGTGGTATTGACACCAAATTTAATATTACCGAAGAATTGTGTTCACTGATTCCAATGCAAGGGACTACAACCGGCAAAGACCTGTACGATGAACTAAAGTCTGTGTTGGAAAATTTTTCAATTTCATTAGAAAAGATTATTGGTATATCGACAGATGGAGCACGAGCAATGTCAAGCATGGAGGTAGGAGTATCGGGAAGGCTATTTCAAGACATTAAGAAGGTCACAGGAAGGGAAATATTCGTTAACCACTGCATAATTCACCAGGAAAATTTGTGTGCGAAAAGATTGAGTTTGCCAAATGTCACAGTACCAATAATTAAACTAATCAATTTTATAAAGTCGCGCGCGTTAAATCACCGTGAATTTAAAGAATTCCTGAAAGATTTAGAAACTGAATATGGCGACGTGGTTTTTAATACCGAAGTACGTTGGCTTAGTAGAGGTGCAATGCTAAAAAGAGTATACAACTTAAAAAGCGAAATACAATTGTTCTTGGATATGAAGGGATATGCCTTTCCTCATTTTGGTAATAAAGAATGGATGTGCGATTTTGGGTTTCTTATCGACATGACTCAGCATCTCAATGATCTTAATGTGGAACTTCAAGGCAAAGGACAGTTTATTCACAATTTGTATGATAAAATTCAGGGCTTTGAGCGCAAATTAAAATTGTGGAAACAGCATCTTTTGCAGAATAATGTGTCTCACTTTCCACATTTAGAAAAAGAAAACGTTACTACTTCTCAAAAATACGCACAATATATAGACATTTTAATCAACGAATTTCAATTACGATTCCAAATGTTCAAAGCTGAGAAGACAGCGGTTTCCATGAAAATGTTTTCCTCGCCATTTAATATCGATGTGGATACAGTTCCCGAAGACTTTCAAATGGAAGTGATTGACATGCAGAATAATACCGATTTAAAAAATGTATTTTTCTCAGTAAACATCGAAAATTTTTATAAATCTTATGTGAGCCCTGAGAAATTTCCGCTTTTGACGAAAAATGCAAAGCAAATGATGTCTCTGTTCGGAAGTACGTATGTTTGCGAACAATTATTTTCAACCATGAAATTAATCAAAAATGACCACCGATCAAGACTGAGTGATGCACGATTAGAAAGCTGCGTACGTGTAGCTACCTCATCAATTCCGGCTGATATTGATCAGCTTGTATCGAAAAAACAGTGCCAAATTTCTCATTAAAAATTTCAAGTAAATTCGTTTTTCTGTTCTTTTCTTGTTTGTTTTTATTTTGCATTAAAATTTGTATATGAAATCTTTACTTTTTTTAAATTTTATATTTTTTTATTCTAATGTTTATTATAAATAAAGTTTTGTAAATTATTAATAAGTGTTACTTTATGTGCGGCCCGCCAAAAAATTTTAAAATTTAAATTGGCCTGTTGATTAAAAAGGTTGCTCACCCCTGCTGTAGACTATTGTCTGTCCATGATTATGGATTTTTTAGTCACTGATTTATTTCATCACAATCATCATTTTAATTATTTTGTCACAGTCATTGTTTTATTTAGTTTATTGGCAAAAAATAAATACAAAAATAATATAAGATTCATTTTTTAATATTTTTGGGTATGCTTTTCAAATTATGTTTAGTTTTTGTTTCATTTTCTGATCAATTAGTTTTATTCAGTTTTAGTTTTTCTATGAGCAATTTTCTTGAATTTGTTGTGTAAAGCAAAGCCATGGATCATAAGAGGTTGTCCATAAATGACATCCACATTGGAAGGGAGTGAGGGAGTTATAAAATGACATCTAAAAGTCAATGATAAATCCTAAGAGCACTTTTACTTACAACAATAAAAATTAAAATCTAACTAAATACATTATATGGCTACAAGCAGACATATAATGTATTTAATTAGTTACAAGCAGACATATATCTAACATATCCACAAAAATTTTCAACAGTATTAACATTTAACTGCTGGTGATGGCTACATTACTATATATTTAGAAAGTTTGATGAAAACTTTTAAAAAACACTTTTACATGCAACAATAACTACTTTTAAAAACACTTACATTACTATATGTCCCACCATTCCCATGAAATAAACTTTCAGTATGAAGAGCTTTCCAGTAAAACACTATCAAGACAAATGACAAGCTATCACTGGTTCATTGATCATCTCTGTGGTATACTATGTATAACATCATACCAGAATGAATTTATTTCCATTCCTTTATATTGTTTTTGTGCTCCAAATTTCAAAATTCCACTACAGACTTATTCCACTAATAGGATGAATGTGAACTTGTTTAAACATCACTTGAGAATGCATCAGTTATACAAGTAACTGTGAGAAATCATGTTTTTGCTTTGTAATAACATGAATTGTATTTATTTTTATTTTTAAAAAGTATTGTGTTAATTTTTAAATGTAATACTGAAGAGAATCACTAAAACAGTGTGATTCAAAATGCACTTATATTAAAGAGAGAATAATAAAAAATGTATCAAATGCTAGCATTTGACATATTTTTTTATTATTCTCTCTTTAATACAGTTGCTTGTTAGCTTAGTTACTTAGGTTGCTGCAGTTCTAGACAATTGAAATTCATAACAGAATATCTGTACCAAAATCACTTGGTTTACAAATTAAGAAAGAAGAAACAGAATACATTTCTAATCTGAATTCCAATAAAATAATTATTATCCATAACTAGTAAGTGCAAATCATCAACAGTTAAAAATGAATTCATCTCTAAGCTTTCTCCAATTTACTGTCCATTACAAAGATTGACAAATTCTTTTATTCAAGATAATATTCTTCTGAATGTTGTTTATTATCTCTGAGCATTTCATCCCAAATATCTGTTGCAAACAGTTCAGAAGTAAGCAAAATTATTTATTTGAAAGTAAAGTTCTAAACTGACAAACTTAATTTAGATGAATTTGTTTAACAGTTTTCTTGATGAGAATACTGTTTGAAGTTAAATCAACAGCTAAAACAAATCTTTTTATAAAAGTAGAATTTAAAAAAAATTCATTATTATAAACAACAACAAAAGAATAAATTCCAAACTTGAAATGAATTTATGAGGATAATTCAGTAAGTGATAATATTAGATGTAACTTCATGAAATTACTACAGCATTTAGACATCTATAGGGCAGCTTCTGATTGTGTTATCATTGTTGCACGTTTAAAAGCCTGTTAGTGTACAAGAATCATGGCCAAACACTAGAAAATTGTACTGAAGAAGAGCAGTGTTCTGTCATAAGATTTTTGTAACCAGGACTGAAACTGGGAAAGATTCACAGAAAAATGATTCAATAGTATAGTGGAAGTTATATGAATGCGAAGAAAGTGTACTAGTGGGATATAAAGATTTCAGAAGGTACCCTTCCATAGCCATTGGTGACAGTAACATTGCTTGTGTGGAAGCATTTACTTGTGAAAATAGGTAGATTTCAGTGGACACTGTTGCCACTAAATTGAACATAAACATTATATTATAACATTAGCACAAGGCATCATCCATGACAATCTGAAATATTGTGCTCCAGATGAATGCTGAGATAGTTGACTGATGAACAAAGTTGAACTGGCTGCAGAGTTTTCTTTACATGTTACCATGATAAAAAATGAAAAGCTATTTCTCCTTCAGAATGATAAACAGAGTGAAATTCTGTCTCTCATGTTTGGCAACCTTAAAGGAGTATTGCAATAAAGGACAAAGATTTCACAGCAATGGTGTCAATGAAGTCAAGGAACTAGTGCAATTGGCAATCAAAAATTCTTTTTCTACTGAATTGAGAAGCTTGTAGAAAGATATTGCAAAAGATAATGACTATATAGAAAAATGATATCTTACTTAGATCTATATATCTTGATAAAATACAATTTGCCCTTACTTTTTGAATCACCCTCACATTAAATATTTACTAATTTCAACTATCTTTATCAATAACATTTCAAATATGAACAAACAATTTTAAAACAACAAAGAAAGGAAATTTAAAGTACAAAAAATTTCAGAAACATTCAAAAGCATTAGAATTCTAGTGCTTTTGTATTGCTACAATTCATCTTCAGAGATGCGAAATAGATTACTACCATTATAAAAATGTTGAGTATAGAAACAAGCAAACAACTGCTATAGTCACAGCAGCAACAATTATTATCTTAAAAACTTACATGTTTATGTTTCTGCACACTTATCTCCATAGTAATGTTCTATTTAGCATTCCTTGAAAATGAGTCTTAGTAATTCAATAATATGAGAAAGAAGTAACAGAATGTTCCATTGCTTGCATTGACTATATTCAAGGTTTAGGCAAGATTTAAAAAAAATAATTGCTGCTTGCCAAAGTATTTCCAGTGTTACATCTGCTCCAGTTACTCCAAGAATTTTTGCTTTTGCCAAAATACACAAACCAGAAAAGTAGTTTTGCCTAATTTTAGAAAAATGCAAATATCCACTTTTCTGTTAGAGAAACATCTATAAATACACCACACCATTTTTTAACAACATACATCACATAGTAAACGAACTTCATGAAAAGATGAAAAAATAGTACTGTCTTGGACTTCAAAAATTTAATAATTGGAATTCTTAAAACTTCTGGCTTTTTGTATTTTTGTTAAATTTTTCTCCATTAAAAAATTTTTTTTGTTGTAATTTGTTTGTAATTATATATTAAACAATTTACACACATTACTTAGTAATGAACTTTTAAAATAATAAATTTTCCTGTTTTAAAAAATTTAAGTTTTACCTTTTCATGCCAAGCTAATAGTAAGCCACTGCTTCCTTCAATAGGATATTCAAAACCTCTATAAATATATTTCATAAGAGTATCCATTAATGATGGATCCAGAATGCTAACTATTGCTTCAATATCACTTGTTCTGACAGACAGCAATACTTGCAGGACTCTAGTTAAAGCAGCATCCTGTAGCATAATAAAATTTAATTAAATATAATAGTCAAATCCAAACAATTGCTGAATTATAGCAGGCTTTATTACTATTATTAATTAAATGCTAAGTAATTTGGCATTAGAGGCAGGCATTAAAGGCAGGCCTTAGGCACCATCTCTTGATAAATTTAATTATAATTAAATTAACATTTTATAATTAATTTAGAAAGTTCTGGAAGAAAAAAAAAAAACAGCCCAAAGTGGGACTTGAACCCTCAACTTCCGTTATTGTGCGGTCACATTGTCACTATCCAGACCTTCATCTGATCCTTACTTTCAGAACTTATTAGATATAGTAATATAACCTGATATAATTCAGCAATTTTAGTAAGTTTGGCTTTAATTTGAGATTTGGATGTTAATATCTGTATAAATACAATAGTTTTTTCTTTTTTTTTATATGAGTCAATATTGTTATTTCAAAATATAATATAAAAACTTACCCTGACAACACTATCTTTAGATCCTAATGGAGCCATCCGAAGCACTTTGGTTAAAGCCTCAGCATGTCTCCCTGTATGCAAAGTTAAGAATGCAATACTTTTACATAACCTATACAAAAATAGTGATAACTATATTAAAGATAATTTTTAACATACCAAAATAAAAATATTTATAAAAAATTATTCTGTAATTTTGTGAATAATAAAGATTACTAGTGGCAGCTTGATATAGTGTACTATCTAGTGTAGTGTATGTAGTACTGTCAAAAGGATGTCAACACTACAGACAATGTTCTTCTTGTTTCTTCTAATTCTATGTCACAACTTGGTGCATTTATCGACACTTGGCAAATAATTTCATCATCCACTTTTAATTCATACAGATATGCATTTCGGGCTTTCGCCCCTCTTCAGTCTGTTACATCGATAGGTTGTGACTTGTGTATACAGAGTATCTGTTAGGCACCTTCTGTACTTCCCACTCCCCTCCCCCCGACTTGACGGCCTCCCCCGCATGCCTCGTAACGTGTCACTTCCCCGAATGTTGCACACAGCCTTGCCTGCGACTGTATAAACATTCTATTTTAATAATTGTAGCCAGTTTTTATGAATGTCAATGTTTAGGTTCTTGTTAATATTTAATTACTACAGTCAAAAATAATATTAACAAGAACCTAAGCATTGACATTCATAAAAACTGGCTACAATTATTAAAATAGAATGTTTATACAGTCGCAGGCAAGGCCGTGTGCAACACTAGGGGAAGTGACATGTTACAAGTTACGAGACATGCAGGGGAGGCTGTCAAGTCGGGAGAAGAGGGGAGGGGAGTGTGGGATGTACAGAAGGTGCCTGACTGATACTGTATACACAAGTCACAACCTATCGCTGTAACAGACTGAAGAGGGGTGAAAGCCCAAAACGCGTATCTGTATGAATTAAAAGTGGATGATGAAATTATTTGCCAAGTGCCGATAAATGCACCAAATTGTGACATAGAATTAGAAGAAACAAGAAGAAGACACAGTTTCAACAAATAAATAAGACAATGTTCTTATCATGACCAACAAGAAACAGGCAACTTAGTGGCCATAGGTATTGTAAAAGATTTCAAAGAATATAATTTTTAATGTTATTTCATTTAGTTTTGCATAGATATCAGTTTTAAGCAGTAAACCAGAGAACTATTCCTCTTAAAGTAAATTAATGAAAGTTTAAGCATATCTATGCAGAAATTATAGAAACCACAGTGAACAAATTCAAAGCCTAGGGATAGAATGGATCAAACATTTGAAGAGTGAATTCTTGGTTTAAGTTTTACAAGATGAGAATAAGAAAATGCTTCCATCTGTCACTAGAGAAATGAGTGAGTTATAGGCTAATAACAAATACACTCAAAACTCAAATATATTTTAAGCATAATAAATAAATCATATTTAAAAACTATGCATACACATTACGTATAGTACATTATAAAAGCTCTATGCTATATTCAATTTGTACAAATTATGACTAAAAAGCATTCTTCAACTGATCTCCATTATGCATATTTCAAAAGACAAAAAGTTCTAACATGTGCTTTATTTATTGTAAACCTTTTGAATATTATATCATTTTCTTTAATTCTAGTTTTCTACAGTGATGCATAGAAGTTATATAGTATATTTATGAAGTTTTAGAACTCTGAAAAATATGTTACAACTGCCAAAACAGATAGAACAGATATCTCAATAGTTTTAAATTTCTTCAATTTATATTTAAGAATTTGAGAAAGATGACAAAAAACTACAAACATGCAAAGGTCCAACATAAGATCAATAATATTCAATGATAGTAATTTGAAACTATTGTCTTCAAAATATAATAATGCAACCTTAATATAAAACAAAATTTCTATACTATGGAGTTTGGCTTGGTTGGTTGGATTTGTGGTACAAGGGCCAAAGAATTATAAAGTTTAAAAATAAACCAAAACTTTAATGATATCATATTTAGTTTTGATTTCATTAGGAAAATGGAAGAAAATGTGTGCAAACAAAATGAAATATTGCACAATTAAACTAAGCTATTATTTTTTTTAAATATATAATAATTATTGATAGTTGTCAAAATTTACTTTATAGAAGTGAAAAAAGTTTTTAGTTTATTAAGATGACAATTATCATGTCATGTATCTAACTGTCAAAGTTCTTTGAAATGACATCATTATACAAATAGGGATACCAGAAAATTATCAGCTTTCAAAATACAAATTCAAATAGAAGCATTCAATTAAAGCATGAACTGAATATACAAAAAATTAATGTTGGAGAACTAAAGGTAAATGTATGTATATAGATGTCTATGGCTGCTTTAAAAAAAATTGCAATGACAAATTAATGTGTCTATGGCACAAAAAGGATTTTTTTTGTTTTATAAAAATATTCTTAGTGACTCTGGATAAAGGAAAAGCTGATGAGTTCTTACTTGCATTTTAAAACCAGCAAATAACCCTACATCCACTTTTAAATACAATTTATTTGCACAAAGGTAAGTTATGATGAGGATAAACAATTTAGTAAATAATACTCAATGATAAGACAAAAGAAAATGTTGCAATTTAAATAACAGAGCAAATTAATAACAATAAATATCTTTAAACATAGGCAGACAGTGCTTAAATTCCCTGCTCAGATACTTGAATTCTAAGACAATAGGACCCAAGCAGTTAAAAGTTCAGTTTTGGTATCTCATTTTTTTTCTTCAGGATTTCAAATTTTTCTGGTAATGTACTTAATGTTCTCTTTTAACATTTAAAAAATCTCTCTCTATTCACCTATTTCTTATCAGTGATGCCAATGTAGCTTTATTATATCAGACAAGAATACATTCAAGTTTTATTAGTCCATATAAATCAAGATAACAATATATGTAAAAAATATTACAAGAACATTAATTAAATTTTCAAGCACAACTGATATGATATACTGTCAACTGAACAAATTTTTTAAATTTCACAACCGTCAATAAATTCATAATGTTTAATTTTGATCATATATTATTAATAACTATTTAAATAGAAATTTCAGCAAGTCTTATAATATAATTGAGATGGGTTGATAATGTTAATAATAATAAGCGCAGAGCCCAAACAGTTAGGAGTTGAAAGTTGGTACACAGTTAGGGTACATCATGAGAAACCCTTCTTAGAAGGGGTTTCTTATGACATACCCTAAGAAGAGATTTTTCAAAACTATCCCCATGGGGAGAGGGACAGGATTAAGGCTTACAGTGAATAACATAACTTGGTTTCTATTATACTATTTTAGATGTGTTTTTGATTGCGTTTTAATAGGGTATGCCATGAGAATGCACATTAAGAAGGGATTTTTTGAAATTCCCACCGCAGGGAAGAGGGAGAGAGTTAAGAATTACCCCAAAGAACTCGGCTTCTACTGTAATATTTAGATGCCTTTCTTGCATTTATGTGGGAAATCAAACATATTTTTAGACCCTTCTAAAAATTCTCAACAATATTTAGTGTTCCATCATATATAAAGTTGACATGGGGAGCACATGTGCATAAGTTCACTTTATTCAAACTCCATTTTAATGTTTGATTTTATGTTTGAATTTATATTTATGAATTATTCTGGAAGATCCAGTTTATTTTTCAAATTTAGTAAACCTGAAGAACCCAGAAAGAGTTACGAAAACATTTATTATTCATCACTTATGCACCAGTTAGTGGTTGCAGTGAGTCTTAATTATCATTACCTCGATGCGGTAAGCAGATATCTAAAAATTTTCTAATTAGTCTCAGAAGAGGAGGGGACCTAATTCTTGCACTCAGTGAAAAGGGTAAGATCGACTATAAGCTAATATTATTGATAAAACCATAATTTTAAAATTCAATAATAGATATGAATAAATTTATTTTCTAGTAAAAAATTTTCTATGCAATTTAAAAATTGTTACAAAAATGCAAATAATTAAAGAATATTTTAAGATATCACATAAGTGAAAAACAAAAGATAATTTGAAATTTAGAGCAAATATTCATAATCTCCAAGATTTTCATCATTAATTAATTAATCAATGAATTAATTTAATTTAAGATTGCTAATGTTAAATATGAAAATTTTTATAATCAAATAGATTAACTACGAACATTCTGTTAACTGGTGGCAAGCACTACATAGTTTTGTTGCCCAATGTGGTCTGTTGGCCATTTTGATGTTACAAAACATGTTGCCTGATAAGGAAGTTGGTCAAAATTGGTTTTCTGAAAGTCTGGAAAACATGAGTTGTTTTCACATACAACCAATCAATGAACATCTTGAATGATATTTGATGGAAACAGCCAGTTTTGTTTGGAAATGCTGTATCACATGACTGGTTGCAAGAGAATAATGTTGCCTACTGGTCATTCTCTTCACAAACATTGTTGGACAACAAACCTATCTGCCAACCACAGTTGGCCAGCAAAACCAGATAGTATTCACCATAAATTAATAATCAAATGGCAAAATAGTAAACATATTGAATAATTGAATTGTTAATATTAACAATATGTTTTTTACATTCATAACAAATATCACATCATTTAAAATAAATATGACAGCTAAGTAAAATAAACTGTTTAATTAAATATGATACTAAGATAAATATAAGATATTCATAGAAAAATGATAAAAATGTTCAAGAAATTAGGAGTGTTATTCTGGATAAAACTCTTGTTTTCTTGAAAATTTTTAGTATTTTTTGATTTTTTCCCCCTACAAATAAGAATAAATGAAGTCATTTGATTCAAAAATGTATCAAAGATCAATAAATAAAAAAGCTTAAACTCTAGTTTGATGTCAAATTTGAGCAAGATGTTATATGTTTAAGTAAATATGTATGTGCAGTATATATGAGACCATTTATTTATTATATTTTATCAAATTAAGCAGATAATGCAGAACAAAACGGCTACATATCAGATCAAGGGCAGGTATAAAAACCATTATGACAAGAAGGATGGTCATGCTGTGAAGTTATGTCATGTTTGTAAAGGACAAACATTTAATCCCTTTTTTATGTATTTGTTAC